AAATGACATCTCAAACTTTGTTAGTTGAGTCATAAATTCTCCCAGATACTGTTTCGGTCTGCATCTCAGTTAGATTAACAAAAATGAATTTGTGTTTTGTTTTACTCAATTTCCCCACTAGCTGGCACTACTTCTATCACAAATGTTCCCCTTGGGCTTCCAGATATGGACAAGTACGATATAGCTGGGATTCAAACTTACAGTCTCCTGATGTTGGGATGGATTATTAGACAGCTGCACCACATGAGACTATACCTTGCTTTAAAGTTAAAAAATAAATATTTTCTCCAGCGTATTAAACATTCGTAGACACAAAATCTGAGTTGCTTCGTGTATTCCTGAGTGGTGCAGTGGACCAAGCCGTCTCCCCATCCCCCCTGGGAGGTTGTGAGTTTGAGCCCCAGCGATGTCATAGCCAACCATAAGTGTGTACCCAAGAGGAAACATGTCTAGTAGGATTGTGTGATGGAAAAAGTGGCTAGTGGGGAAATGGAGTATAAAAACAAGTTCGCTTTTTTTACCTAACTGAGATGCAGAACTAAAAAAAGGAGAACTTAAGAAGTTTAAGTTGTCTGAACTCTTGTGTCCTCAAGTTGAGTAGACTAAAGAAAAGCCATGAAATCATTTACTGTATCATTTTTAGTTTAGCAGACCTCTCATTTCTAACAGTGCACAGGACAGCATCTAGACGTATCCAAGGCTGTTTAATTCAGTGGTGATCACAGATCCAGTGCTGGCTTAGATTACATTTAGCTTTGGTTGATATTCAAACAAAGTGGTCACCTGCCATTTAAAAACATCTGTTTTTTATACCTATACCATATATACTTATATGTTTTGCATGAGATTGCTGGGATGTTGAAATGGGTCAAAATATTAACAACAGTAAGAATCTTTTTGTTGCTTTTATTACAAAATAAATGGATAAAGGATTGTTTTGTGTGGGTGTGTGTTTAGGGCTCCACACCTGAAGTGGTGAAGGATCCGCGAGTGCAGTGCTGGATCGAGAACTATCGCAATCTCCTGGATGCCTGGAGGTTTTGGCACAAACGGGCTGAATTTGACATCCACAGAAGCAAACTAGACCCTAGCTCCAAGCCTCTTGCTCAGGTGAGGAGCCTCCTGCGTGAACACTTTCAGCTGTGTTCATACATGTTAGAGGGATAGTTCATCCAAGCAATGTGAATGTGGCAATAAGTGGATGAAATGTTTTGCTCTTGTCAAGCAGTGTCTGGCATTTCTTGTATGCTTAATAATTAAGTTGAATTTATTGCAGCTGTGTTCTTAGAATTCTTCCCCCCAGTGATGGCCTGCAGTGCCAAATGCTTTCCGTGAATACATGTAGCTTGACATGGTGAATAAGTAGGCTTTCTCTGTTCCCCTCTCCTTTAGGTGTTTGTGAGCTGTAACTTCTGTGGAAAGTCGATATCGTTCAGCTGCTCCGCCATGCCCCACCAGGGCCGTGGCTTCAGCCAGTACGGGGTCAGTGGTTCCCCCACCAAGTCAAAGGTCACAAGCTGCCCTGGCTGCCGGAAGCCACTGCCACGCTGCGCCCTCTGCCTGATGAACATGGGAACTCCAGTGTCCACTTGCACAGGTAATCGACCAGCTGGACACTCTTCAGAACTGAGTATAGGCTTTAAAAGGCTGAATAAATCAAAGAAAATGACTGTGAGTGTAAGCTTAGTGCTAACTGCTTATGCATATGCACTGTTAGCCAGAAAAAAACACGATAACGCAGAATGATAAAGCCATACATCTTCTCACCAATCTCTTTTTAACCAAAACTCTCAAAACATGTATTTATTTATGCATTCATTCATATATTTGTGCACGTATATACAAATTCCAGTCTGTTGGGCCATTTGAAATATTCTATAAAGGATAAAGACAATGAGTTTTATGACAGATTTCTGTGTAAATTGAAATGTTTTTTTTAATCTTATTCAGGCACAGGGAAATCTGATGAGAAAGTTGACCTGCCAAGAGATAAGAAACTCGCCCAGTTCAACAACTGGTTCACCTGGTGCCACAACTGTCGCCATGGAGGCCATGCTGGCCATATGCTTAGCTGGTTCAGGTGAGCAAAATCATACTTATTTGTAGTCTTCCAGTGTAACTAGGCTAATATTTAGGGCTGCGATAAATATTTAATAAAATTAAATTTGACAAACAATGTTAAGAAAGGGAAGTGCAATTCAAATAACTGGGACTGTTACCTATTTTATGAAAGTGTGAGTTTCAGTGCATCATTCTTTTTCTATAGTTTTTTCTCATCAAAGCTGCAGCGATATCTTGGTAGTCAGAGGTGAGGATGTCGAGACTCCATTTCTGACTGTCTATATTGAAGATCTAATTTGAGGCAGTAATGTCAGTTTTAATCACCTGGTGCAGTCCAAATGCTTTTCCTACTGCTCTGGCTTGTTAGCTAGCGTGCTGTCTACTGCATTTGATCAAAGAATAAATGGTGCAAAAAAAAGAGACTATTAAAACTGCACTGGTCAATAAGACTAATACAGCTAAGTTTGGCACATGCTTGGATATAAAGTGTGTTTTGAACATTTAAAAAAAATTTGTATAAAATTCTTTAAAAGCTGTTTTCTTATTAAAAAGATGCTGTTTCCTCTGCTCTCCTGCACTGCTCATCACTCAGTGAGGCCTTGAAACAGGTCCAGCTACCTGGTCAGGGTTGCCAGGTTGGAAAGAATCCCCCAGAATAGTATTTAACGTTACTTGCTATGAGAACACTGTAATGATCCTTATTCTTGTACAATATTTAAATATTTGAGACAGTGTTTGATAGAATATTCAAAAATAAAGATATTCAATAGTTGCAGTCCTACTAAGAATGAATGAAGGTGGGTAAAGGCTTTTATTTATGAACAGCACCATTAGACTTTGTGTTCAAATTGTGCCCTATTCAGTTATTATTATTCATGTGTACTAAGCCATATATAAAATGTGAAAATATGTCAAAGTGTGAATAGATACAGGCCAGTATAATTTAATAGGTTAAATTTGACACCAGGCCAGCCTGTGGTGTCAAAACTGCAGTTCGGTCTTATACGCTTGGTGTAACATAGTGTCCCTGCCCTCTATGTGGACAGACTGGATTCCCAACCCAGTCAAGAATGGCATGTTATCCCAATGAGACTCCTAACACTACATTCACCTGATTAAACCGTCAGTCTTTCTGGAGACGGACCATAAATGTAAAAGATCCTTCTCATTTGTGCCAGATTTACCATTTGGTGTGTATTAAAATATTTTCCCTCTTCCCATGCAGAGACCACAGCGAGTGTCCGGTCTCAGCCTGTACCTGCAAATGTATGCAGCTGGACACCACAGGCAACCTGCAGCCATCAGACAATGTATAGCAGTAAAGCAACCTACACTCCACCCCTGATTTCCTGAGGAAGCGTACCTGTGAGAGTGGCCAGTCCCTGGACGGGCAGGGAGTGGCTTCTCAGTGTCCTATCGGACCGGTCTGCTGCTCACCCGCAGAGCGCCGTGTTTATCTACCTCCTCAGGTCCTCCAAGACAGTGCCATGGATGGAAGAGGAATCATGTGAAGAGCTGAAACGTGACCATACCAGCAAGTCAGATATGGAAAGGAAGACGTCAGCAAAATGGGCTTTTTTTAATTAAACAACTTCATTACCTCAACATTAGTGATGAACAGAAGCCGATTGTTTGTTACCGTAGTACTAATCTGTGGTGTTTTTAATGAACGCGGTTTGTACACTGTATACAGTTTATATACAATTGCTGATCAATATTCTAACAACAAAAGGAATGTTTTGAAGTGCCATTTTATTAACATATGCAATAACGCTTCTTTTTTCCCCTCTCATAAAATGTTGGATGTTTAGATGCGACATTTACCTCTTAAGCAGGTTGTGGTGAAGGATCTTTTGTTGTGGAGAAAAGCAGTTCTGTACATTTAATACACCGTCTCTGTTGGAAATGTTTGTCCTTACTGTGTTTTTGTGTCACAGACAAAATTCTTTCTCTCACTGATTTTCATGCAAAACCATAGACGTTGGGGTCAGCACTTAGCACTATCCAGCAGATGCTGACATGGTTTATGACCACAGTCTTCACTTTTCAGATCCAGCTCATGGCCCTCACACAATACTGATTATCCTTTTCTTTACTGTAAAATGGCTCGCTGAAATACTAGTTTGCCCCAGATTGTTTCTGCAGAAAGAGTACAGAAAGGGTGAAAACACACACTTAATATAGATAGATAGAGCTGTTTATTTGAATCTGGTGGCTTTTGATCACTATGAAACGCTGAGGTTTGCTGAAATGATACATGATGTTAGATTATGTGTGCGAGAAGTGTTGTAGGATGAAAACAGACACTTGTGATAGACCTAGTTATTTCAAGTGGTTTTTGAAGGCCGTAAAATACTGAGGTTACTGAATCACAAGCTCATATTTATGTGCAAAAACTACTGTTGGCAGTTCATTTACTTCTGATAGACCTACTTATTTGAATCTGATGTTTTTTGATAACTAATAACTATAAAATGCATTTCACATTTACTGAAATGCTAGCTGACAAGTCCTGTATGTATAGTTTTAACCTTGTAGTTATTTGAATGGAAATGCTGGAGTTTACCACATGGTGGCACATTACATTTTTTTGCACCAAATCGTCTGCTGCTGCTTCAGTTTCACGAACAACCGTTTTGATGGCAAAGCTCAGTCTGTCCAACAATATAAAAAGAAAGAAGCCTTACAAAAACTAGTTTATTACATCGTTATTAACCATATTCTCTACAGTATTACAGTAAAACACGCTTTTCCCAGCACGCTGCTCTCTATTCGCTCTCTAAAGGGACGCAGCCATTGGCTGTAGCGTGGGAAAACAAAACTTCTGACCAATCAGAGCGCACCACTCAGTGGCAGCTCTTCCACTGGACTAATGGGCTGTTGAATATTTGCATAGCCCCGCCTACGCGTTGCTGTATCGTTATCGCTCATCTGTCAAGAGTCGAGCAGAAGAGTGGAGTCAGTGTGAACTCCAGTAGTGTAAAAATGTAGAGATACGTATCTAAACCAAGGCTGAGCCGCACCAAATTATCCCGAGAGGACGCCTTAGTGTTCTCACAGGCTCGGTTCGCTCAGGGTTTCCGTTCTTCCTCTCGTTTTGTTTTCTTTTTTACACAGCTGAAGCGTCCTCGTCTGGCCTCCGCATATCCAAGCCAAAGCATGCAGCTCGCTTTAGTCAGCGACGGAGGCAGAAGTGTTTTGCAGGCTGTTCAGGACAGTCCAGGCTTTCCCCACAGACTGGCTCGGACAGAGCAGAGAGGGTCACCGCCTTCACCTTCTGTTCCCTCCAGCACTGGAGGCAGAGCAGCGAGCAGAGTGAAACCCGGCCCGGGTCTTTGTTCAAATGCCCCCGCGGAGAGTGAAGCACCTCAGCGCCGCAGAGTCTCCTCAGCTGGAGAGGGTAACTATCTCACCTACAGTGTACTGTATTATAGCCACGTTTTGGGTTAGGATTTCTTTTTAGGGTCATTTTGGTTTAAAATAAAAAGCAAAGTGGGTCAGCAGAGCAGGCCAGGAGCTGAACCAGCACAAGAGAAGGACAGAAAACAGGAATTAGGAACTTAATGTGAATGAATAAAGGTGAACAGAGTAAAGAGTAGTGGCCCTTCCTGAGTAGCCCATCTCATTGTCCAGCTTATCAGCTCCCCTTACCATATAGGAGCACTTTGCATGCTTTGTTAGCCCCTTTTTACCCTGTTCTTCAATGGGCAGGACTCCCACCATTCTCAGCGCTGCAGTGCTCCTGCTTCAGTCCACTGCTGCTCCCTCACTCCCCCAAGCAGAAGTCCAGTACAGCACCGATGCTGAACATATCACTTGCAAACATGTTCACTACCAAGAAGATTTATTCGTTTGATCACATTGATTTATCAGTCTACTCAGGCTTTAGCAGAGCTCAGTAACACTGAGATTAATAACTGATCATCACATTGATTTATCAGTCTACTCAGGCTTTAGCAGAGCTCAGTAACACTGAGATTAAACTGATCACATTGATTTATCAGTCTACTCAGGCTTTAGCAGGGACTTCAGTATTTGCAAGGGGCCATTAACTGGGGTCCTCTTTTCACTATATGCACTGGTTCTAAAATTGTTCTTAAACAAGCATTAATGTTGTTTGTTTTGAACGTTATATGTTTGTTTATTTAGTGGGTAAGTATTCTAAAAATATTGTCTTAAAAATGTAAAAAGTAACTGTATTCTGAATATTGCCTCTACTAAATGTAACTTGGACTGAATACAGATACTTAATTTCTGTACTCTGAATACATTTTCCTTTACATCTCAACTCTGCTTACAGTGCACCAAATCCTAGTTAGAGATGAGTAGACAGGCCTAAGACCACAACAAATGTGTTAAAATGTTGCTGCTTTGCTAAAAGTAGCTACTACAAAAATATACTGAGGTGACCTAATTTATGATAATCGCTAATTATATTAATTATATGAATTGGTGGTGGGTAGAGTATCCTAGGACCAATCCAAAGTAAAAATGCTGATATGTCATTGAGAAAATTAGTCAAGTAGAAGTTAAAGAATCTGCCAAAAATCATACGAAAGTACCAATAATCTGTATCCTGGTGATTAAGGCTAAAATAATAGGAAGTGACCACCCTGCTTATGATACACGATGGGCCAGTTTCCCAGACTCAGATTTGGCCTGGGATAAAATAAATTCCAGTGGTGATGCACCATTAACACGGCCTTTCAGTCCAGGACTAGGCTAAACTCGTACTTTGTTATAGGCAGGATAGTTAATCCGTATGGTTTACTTCCATTTAGAGGTGGAAGTCAAAACAAATGTCACTTAGCATGAGTAAAAAAAGTATCCAAAAACTAGTGAACTGCAGTGGAACTTCGTAGTACATCCAGCATGTATCAGTGTAGGAACTGAACTCCGTCAGGCTCTATTTTGTCTTTTCAGATCCTTTCTGTTCAATAGAAAATGCTAAAGCTCCAAAGTGAGAGGTTTGAGCAACAGTAAAGCAGTTCAGTAGCTGAACCAACAGAACAGAATGGCATTGACCTAAAGAGAAACTAAATATGGGCTAAAGCTGAGCTGAGTCATATCCTCGCAAAAATACTTGAGTAGATGTAAAATATCATAATTTGGAAATACTCAAAAAGGTACAAATCTAAATCGTAAGTAAATCGTAATCGTAGAACTGAATGAATATAACTAGTTGTAGACTAATAAATCAATAGGATGCTCTGGTTATAGAGGTGTATGCAAAAGTTTGGATACACCTGCTCAAAAGTTTTGTTGAGTTTCTAAGTAAAAATAATGTAGCAGTTTGTCTAGGGAACGAAAGTTTGATTCACTTTTATTGCATAAAATGGGCCTGACAGCAAAAATCCAAAACAATTTTTGGAATAATGATACATGCAGGGATTCTGTTTGGAGTTTGTTGCCTTGAGGCAACATTGTGTAACAATGGAAAGAAATGATACAGAGGTTAGATAGGAAACTGGATTTTTTTTTAAATCTAAATATTTGAAACAAAATTGAGCAACTATGCAATGTTGACTTGAGGCAACACTGTATAACAATGGAAAGAAATGATACGGAGCATCGTATATGAAACTGGATTTTTTTATCAAAATATTTGAAGTTGAGTCTCCACACAACATTTAGGTTTATTGAACACCAATCATTTAAAACCACAAATAAGAGTTAAACCTATGCTAAAACATATGCAAAAAAGAAAAATAGCAGAAACTGGCATGCATTTTCTGAACAAAACGAATGATGCTAGTAAAACATATCGCTCGCTGACTGATGCATGACATAATTGACTGGAAGGGTCTTCTAGCATGTAAAATTGCATACATGTTAAATGTTTTATAAGTTGATTTCCAACATAAGTAAAACTACAAAAAATTCTGAATAAAAACTTCTAAATGAAACACTAAACAATGACTGCAGTTCTCTGACGTGGCTGCATAAGTGATACCTCTCTTGCTACTGGCTAAATCCATTCGCCTGGTGCATAACGTTGCTTCAAGGCAACAAACATTTTTCAGCAATTCCTCATAACATACAAATTATTTATGTGATACTGAATATTGAAAAATGAGTGTTTTTGTTTGGTTGGATGAAAAAATGGCAAATGTTAGCTTGTTTGGTGCAGTAAAGTACATCCTTGCCTAAAACAGGCTTCAAAAACACCCTCCAGGAGATAGTGTAACCAAAGACAAGCTGTTTTTGGTTTATTCAAACTCTTTCCTTCATTATTAACCCTTTCATCATCATTAAAATGCATTATAAAATGTCATTGTAAAGTGAGAAGAATGGCTGTTGCCTTGAGGCAACAAAGGGGTTAATAATGGCATTTTTTTCTGCAATTACAGATATGAAATATGCCATAACATTTCCACAGGTTACATGTTTATATTTCTCTTTATTCTGAATGTGATAAGTTCAGAAAATAAACCGTACTTGTGCATTAAAATGTGCCGAAGTGTGTCTCTGTAGAGGAAGTGTGCTTATTTTTGCAAAATTACAAGACGTACTTCGACATATAACTGTATCTAACATTGCTTCATCTGCAGTATGTAGGCTATGTTGTGTACAGTTGAGGTGAAGCCTGCCCACATTATCTCATATTATACTGAGTCAGCCTGCACTGTATTCCATTACAATATGGAGTAACATGACTTTCGTGCACTTTTTTCTGACATAAAACTGACAGTTTCAATTTCTTTGTTGACTTCAGCCACAATCTTTCAGCCTTTCAGCATTTTTTATATTATAACCCTTTATTATAGTAAGATTAGATAAACACCTGTGTTTTTTATTTAATGCATATACGCATATTTTATCACCAATGTACTGCAGCTTCCTCCTTTTCATGAGAAGTGATTAGATGATGAATAGAACAATAGTTAGTGACCGTCATAGGGAAAAAATGTGATTGATTGCAGTTGTTCTTGCAGGACATGAGCTGACTTCACAGTGGCCTGTGAGATAGGAACTGGCCGATAAACTGCTTGGCCAGTAGAATCGTATTAGTATCTTGACAACATTAGTAATATCTTGATATTAAGGTTCCATGCAACTGTTAACAGTTGTATGTTTGTACACCACTCTTCTTGGTGACTGCCCACATTTATTACAGTAATTCAGGTCGAGCTGGTAGCCGTGAACACAAAACACATCATGGGTAAAATAACAAAGGCATGTGAAATGCACCCACACTTAACCTTTAGCAGGAAAATAACACTATGGGGTGTTTCTGCATCTACGGGAGGTTCAGGCTGTCCACATATTCATAAAAACAGTGAGGATGTCTTTAGCGTAGCATGTCCTTACCACAACGGCAAGATGTTTCCACTGTTTTTGAGTATAAATGGTAAACAGCATGTCTGGTCAGTGACTTTGGCAGACAACATCTAATGTATTTGAATATAATTGACGAACATGAAGGTCTAACTTGCTAAAATAAGAAAATGCAGAAAATACTGAAGATAAAAAGATGACATTTGTTTTTCAGTAAGTTCAGAGACACTAAATTCGATTTTCCACACTTTTGTTCACGTGTTCTTTGAGTAACTTATGTTTTAATTGGACCTATTTTTGTTTGGCTTTGAAAAAACTTGACCAGTGTCGCGGTAAGGTCAAATAAAAGTGGGACCGACATATTTAGAGAAGAAAATTACATTAATGACTGACCAACAACAGTATTTATTAAACAAGTGGTGTATTTTTATGCATTTGAAGATGTGGGGCATGAATAAAAATGCTATTTTGATCCAAAATATGCTTTATAAATTACATTAGCTCGGTGCATTTAGACACAATTTATATGAATTATTCTACCGAACTGGTTCACAGTCAGAGTTAAAGGCATATTTTGAGCTTTGTGTCTATTTTATTAAAACAAATAATTGAACGTTCCATTTTTTGGCTACCAAAACAATAATAACACTTCTGAAACTCTACCAAATGTTTCTGGAGGGACTGTTTCAGTAGTGACAATTTTTTTTTAATTAAAAACTTTTCATTAAAACACAAAAAATTGTACTTAATTGCAGAAAATATGTTTCAGTAGTGACGATCCTTCATGTTTCACACTGATTTTCAGACTTTGGGACACATTTACTTCAAAACATTGGGACCTTACTGCTCACCATACGGACCTGAGGGACAGGGATACAGCCTCACTTCCTGCTTTGTAATGGCTAAAATAAGGCTCTGCCTACAGACTAAAACTTTGTGTTTCAGCAGTGACATGAAAATGTGGGACAGCATTTTCGAATGAAGTTTTTTAGTTTTTTAAATTGAAAAGAAATCGGAAAAAATTTCATTAATGTTAAAGATCTTTTAACATCAAAAAATTCAAAAAAGTATTATTTTGAAATTTACAGGTCTGACACCTCAAAACAGAAAGCACCGTATAAA